CCCCTCAGCAGGGCCTCTCTTGGCCTCCCTCCCTGCATAGCCCCTCCTGCTGTTCTCATCACATCATCACTTGACGCTCTGCCCTTCGCCATGTGGATACAATGTGGGAGCATCCTTCTGGTCTGCTGTGTCTCCTCCACTGGCATGTAAGCTCCTCCTGGGAAGGGAGCCTCTGTCTCGTTCCCCACTGTGTTCCCAGCACCCTGCACGATTCCTGGCACTTAATAAATACTAGTTGAATAACGAATATATCTCAGGCTGAGTGATATATGCGAAATGCCAAATCCAATAATACGTGAGTACTGATTATTTCCGTGAGATGAAATTACCAAGAATGATTGTGAGTTCCTGTATTCAGATTCAGGAAATTAGTGTTCCTGTGCAGGCTGGGAGACGTGGCTTACCGTGAGAACTGTCTAGAGGGTTGGCAGCCAACAAGCCAGGTGATGTGGCCACCAAAGAACTTTCTGGTGGGGGTGGGGTGGGGGGAAGCCTGATACACTTCTAGGCCAAACAAATAGGAGTTTAGTGTCCAGAACATTCTTCTACAGTCAATTTGCCAGGCCCCAACTGGAGCATCTTGTTTTCTTGGAGTACCAAACTTTGGCAAAAGAGTCTAAGTCTGCATTGTAGGGAGAACAGAGGTGCTGGGGCCACCATCCAGCAGAAGAGTCTTCAGATAACAACTCCCTGTGCCTCAAGATGGCAGCACAAAGGACAGGGGTTGGCTCTTAGAGGTGGCCAGTTTCCAAGGGAAGAACTTTCCAAACATTAGAAGCTTCCAAAAATGGATTGTGCTGCTCTATTTATGGAAATAGATACTTGCAGCTGCAAGTGACAGAACATCCAATTCAGACTTCTCCAAGTTAACAATAACCCCAAAAAAGGCAGGCGGTATTTTTTGGCTGATAGAATGGAAAAGTCCAGCGGTAGAGCGTAGCGTCAGGCACGGCTGGATCCAGGGAATCAAGGATGTCCTCAGGACACTACTTTACTCTCCACACTGAGCTCTGCTTTCCTCCACACCGATCCTTTCTCGGGTTCCATCCCTCAGGGCAGCGGGTGGTCACCAGCATCTCTAGGTATATATTCTGTCTTCTGTTTCCCCCAGAGGAAAGCCCCTAAGTCCAGATGTCAGAACCCACTGGACTGACCTGGTAGTCACATGCCCATCCTGGAGTCACCACAGCCAGAGAAAAGACTGGCTGGGCCTAGGTCCCATCCCTGCTTCCAATCCAGTCCCAGTTGCCAAGGGAAGTTCAGGGCTCTGATTGGCTAGGCCTGGGTCTTGGGCCTCTCCAGTAGCCAGGAGTAGTGGCTCCCATCTGAGCCACTTAGATGAAAGGTGGATTGAGTTTGTGAAAGGTCCCTGGCTCCCAGATCAAGAAAACAAAAGTTACCAGCACCCAAAAGCCCCTGTGCCCCCTTTCCCCAGAGCTAACTGTAGCCCTGTCCCTCCCCGGGGGAACCCCTAGCTCTCCTTCTCAACATAGATTAGTTCTGGGGTGCTTGTTCTCATATAATTGGTTGGTTGTTTTTCTGGGGGGTAATTAAGTTTGTTTATTTATTTTTAACGAAGGTACTGGGGATTGAACTCAGGACCTCCTGCCTGCTAGGCACACGCTCTACCACTGAGCTACACCCTCTCCCTGTTCTCCATGTAATTGAAATCATGATCACGTCCTACTCTGTGCCTGACTTCTTTCACTCAGCTTGGTTTGTGAGATTCATTTGTATTGTTGTGTTTGTTGATCATTCACTCTCATTACTACATAACATTCCATCAGGAGAGGAAACCACAATTTATTTTCGCATTCTACTCCTGACGCACATTGGGGAAGTTCCCAGCTAGGGGCTTCAATGAGTAGCAATGCTGTAGCTTGTAGGCTGCTTCTGGTGCATGTGTGCTGGCATTTCTGGTGAGTGTCTACCTAGGAGTGGAATTAACTGCTGGGTCATAGGGCTTATGTGTCCAGCTTTAGTAGATACTGCCAAACAGTTTTCCAAAGTGGTTGTACCAATCTGATTCTTGGAGCATCTAGTCTCTGGATTAGCTGGCATCTGTGTCCCATACACCCTGAGAGTCCTGACACTGGACTTCACAGAGAATTGGGGCTTGTCAGCAGCTGCATCCTGGGTTCTGGGCCCACAAAGAGGCAAAGAGGTCCTTCCTGCTTTCTCCTGTCCCATCTCAGGCATTTGATTCTGTCCTGCCCACACCATTCTGAATCTTCCCCTTTTAGGAGTGAGTTTTTAATATCAAAGTGTTTCCTTGCATCCCAGATGGATGAGCGTAGTGGAAGGCTTCATTTCCACAGTGCTGAGGGGCAGGGGAGCCCCATTCACCCCTTTGGCTAGAGTGTTGGGGAGCTCCTGCCACACACGCGTTCATCTCAGCCTCAGTACTGAGTGGCCAAAGGTGCCCTTGATTTTCCCCAGCTCAGCCAAAGCTTTGTAAGTGGATTTTCCAGGATTCCTGACTGTCCTCCACTTTTTGAATCAAACAAAACAAAACAAAACAAAACAAAACAAAACAAAACAGCAAAACCTTTAGCCGGGCCATTCTCAGAAAGAGGAACCCAAAGTAGGATGTGGTTTTACAATCAGGGGAAATGGATCCCAACGTGGTAAGATGGTGGCACAGGGTGACACGCTGTCCCACTGCTCTGAGCAGCTTCTGCATCTAACCCAGGGTGAGGCCCAGGCCCAGGCCCAGCTGGCAGGGCCACCAAAAGAACATTTGTCTCAAACTAAACATTTCCTTTCAACTATTTAAAAAATATGTTTTTAAGAGTCATTTAGTTAGTTAGTTAGGTTTTTTTTGTTTTTGTTTTTGTTTTTGGTAGGGGTGAGTAATTAGGTTTATTTATTTATTTATTTTTAGAGGAGGCACTGGGGATTGAACCCAGGACCTTATGCATACTAAGCATATGTTCTACCACTTGAGCTATACCCTCCCTCTTTCAACTGTTTTTAAAAGTAATTCAAATCCAGGAGGATGTGATCTTAGGGTAGGTAAGTATTTGTCTAAAAAATAAAAATTATGGAACATAAAGGAAAAGATTTAAGAGGGGGTATAGCTCAGTGGTATACTCTTGGCACACTTTGCATACACGAGGTCCTGAATCCAATCCCCAGGACCTCCATTTAAATAAATAAATAAACCTAATAACCTCCCCCCTCAAAAAAAGGGAAAAGATTTGACTATCAACATTCAAAACTCCTACTCATCGAAAAGATACATAAACACAACTTGAACAAGAGGACATTTCCAACTCATTCAGTCAACAAAGGAATTGAATCGAGAGACTATAAAGAAACCCTACAAACCCGTAAGAAAAATACAAACAACCCCACAGAAAAATGGGCAAAGTTTATAAGCAGACTATTTGCAGAAGATAAACATTTTATGGATAATCAGAGAAATGCAAATTAAAATGAGAGAGCATTTCTTTCCCATAAAAGTGAGTAAATTTGACGATACCAAGTGCTGGCAAAGATTCGGAGATGAAGTCCCTTGTTACTGGTTACTACCACTTTACGTGTAAAGTTAATGATGTGGTTAAACCTGTCATAGGTTATACTCGTGATCCAGCAGCTCCAGTCTTGGTGTGTGCCCTCCAGCAGAGCTGTCCAATACGGCAGCCACAGCAGCATGTGTTTCTTGAGCACTGGAAATGTGGAGAGTGTGACTGAGGAACAGAATTTTTAAAAATTGTATTTAATTTTAATTCATTTAAATGTAAGATGTGGTTACTTGATTTGTTTACCGGAAAATTTTTCAGTGTATTTGGAACAACTTGGATCTGTGAACCTACTTTTTTTATAACATGTAAATTGTAAAATTTTACGAAATGTACATTGCAGATGAAATATTTTAAATGAAAACCTAGTGTCCAAATTGCAATGTGCTGTTAAGTGTAAAATACTCACCAGATTTTGACACGTTAATAGCAAAAATTGTAAAAGATCTTACTAGTAATTTTTCTATACTGACAATGTATAGAAATAACCATGGTTTGGATATACTTGGTTCAACAAAATATATTACTAACTTAATTTTATCTATGTCTTTTTCTTAAAAATGTGTCTACTGGTAACTTTGACGTTACACATGTGGTTCACATTATGTTTCTCTTGGACAACATTCATCAGGACTCTCACTTGTACACAAGGAGGTGCACGCAAGAGTAGATACATTGTAGCATCATTTGTAAATGAGTAGACACAAACCTTGAGGTTCCTCAACAAGAGAGGGGTAAATAAATTGTGGTTTATTTACCCAGTGAAGTACCACTCAAGAGTTAAAATGAATGAACTAGGGCTACATGTATCAGTGTGGATAAATCTAAAGATGCTGAGTGGCCAAAACAAGTTGCAGAAGACTTAGAGCATGTTTGTGGCTACATATTAGTATAATAAAAGGATAAAAACATGCATGGAAACTATAAACAACCAGAATCCAGGTGGTGGTAACCTGGAATGGGCGAGATACTTCAAAGACCTCTAATCTGTAACATTTTGCTACTTACTAGGGAATGGGTTTGGTTACACTGAGCTATTTCAACAACGTGTTTGATGGCAAAAGCCATTTTTAAGCATTTGGTTTCTGGTCCAAAAGTTTCAAAGAACTTCAGCCTTTGGTCCCTCTCAAGTCTGGGATTGTCTGCCCAGCAGTCCTACCGTTTTCCATCTTTGCTGGCTGGTCTCCCACGTATGTGTGTTCCCGAGGTGGGAAAAAAAAAGATTTGACTTGGGTCTGTTGGCATCTTGAACTGGGGGCACTGCTGTGAGGGATGCAGACAGACCGCCCACCTGTGATAAGAGGCAGCTTAGCCTAGATGGTGACCTGGGACAGCGGGAGCCACAAGTCCCCTGGCCGGGACTCCATCCCAAGCCTCCTGATGGCAAATGTCTTGACATCCTGACGGCCAAAGGGTCCTTTTAAGGACTCACCCATCACACCTGGGGGCCTCATTTTGCCTTCGCTTCCTTTGCAGGACGACTGGTATCTGAGAAGTAAGAGCAGGATGCCCCCTGGGGTTGACTGCCCCATGGAATTCTGGACCAAGGAGGAGAATCAGGACGTGGCAGTTGACTTCTTGCTGCCCACGGGGGTCTATCTGAACTTCCCTGTGTCCCGAAATGCCAACCTCAGCACCATCAAGAAGGTATGATCTTGACCTTAACACTAGTCCTCAGAGCTTGGAATTCAAAGAGACAGGCAGACAGACAGACTCTCTCACTCTCACACCTGGTTTCTCGGATTTGAGATCCTCAGTTACAAATTTTAAAAGATAAAAATGATATCCAAGAATTGTTTTAAAACCTGCAGTTAGAGTCCTGACTTTCCAAATTCAGCTCGCACCTTTATCAGGGCACGTTTACCACCCCCCACACCTGAGAGCCCAGTGAAAGCGTCAGGGTGCTGGTTCCCACGGTGGCCTGTCATCCTCTCCGTGACTGTGCCACCGTGTTTGGAACCACACCCCATCCACAGCCACTTAGGAGTCTTACCGGTCTTTTGTCTTTAGAACTGTTTTCTTAGTAAACATCATCTTTGGAAGTGGTTTCTGGCTCTGTTGAATAATTTTCAGGGTCAATTACTCAGTCAAAGGATTAAACGTCTGGGTGGTATTCGGTGAATATTGTGACTTTTCAGAGGGCTTGTCTGTGGGATTTTATGGGTCGTGCCAGAGGGCAATGCCCAGAATTTGAAAAGCTATACTTGGGAGCAGAAAAAAAAGGAAAGGAGTCATGAACCATCCTTGGTTTTGTTTTGTTCGTTTGTTTTTTAACTCTTCCCTTCCTGGATGTTTCTTTAAAACTTAAAAAATTTTTTTTCATTTCAAAAGCAATATGGACACATTGAAATTTAGGAAAATAAAAGAAAGTAGAAGGAAAAGTTGCCTAACACTTTGGCTGTTTCCTGTTTTCTTTCCTATATTGTGTTTTTTGTGATAATTCTGATCATGAATTTTTTTCTGAGTTAACGTTACAACATTATAACATATCTTTTTTGTGTTATTAACTTTATATAAATATCATTTTAAAGTCAATCTCGTTTTTCTGCCTACAGAGCCATATGTGCATGTTATTAAAATTCCAATACCCCAGAAATGTAAAACGCATCGGTCCCTGCAGCCTCACCTCACGCCCCAGTTCGATTTCAATTTCTTCATATTTTTATTTATACCAGGGACCAGGTAGTAAATAGCGTAGGCTTTGCTGGTCTCGTCGTGGCTGCTCAGCTCTGCCATTGTAGGGCCAGAGCGGCCGGAGAGGGTGCCTAGCCGATGGGCGTGGCCATCTTCCAGTAACTTGGCAAACCCGAGCTTGCCAAGTAATTGACACGTTTATTATTGTTATTTTTATGGGAATGGGCTTGAATTACAACCGTTGTTCTATAGCTTGGGGTTTTGTCCTACTAAGCGCTGTGTCTCCAGCCCTCTGTGCCCGTTCGTTCTTACGGGTGTCCTTAGATTCTGGGCCACCCCCCTGTGCTCTCCCTTTGCATTGATGGACCACAGTTATCTGTCCCCCGTGGAAGAAAAATAGGGCTGTTCTCTCCTTTTCCACAGTCTTCTCTGTGACTCAGCAGTGAGCGCCTTTGCACTAAAGCCTGACTGTTAGATGGCGCCCCAGTGATCCCTGGGGACACCTCACCCCGAGGCTACACACTGACAGAACAGGAGCTGAACGCAGCCCACAGAGGTGTTTATGGCCCCCTCAGTGTGTTAAACTTTTCTGAATTAGTGGCCAACATTTAAAGATAAGGTTGATGAGCCCCAGAACGATTAGCTGGGTGCCAGGAGGTCCTGTCCAGCGGGCCATCCCTCAGGCCAGTCCACAGGGGAGAGAGTAGGACCCACCACTCAGCTCTGGACTTGAGCGCGTACCTGGCCCCCTTCACAGAGGAGCAGTGATGGACACCCCTGGTGACCCAATGGTCAACGCTCAATGGATGGAGAGGGTAGCGGTCCTGGGATCTTGCCTTTGCCTCCCTGTCAGGGTCATGCAGCTCCAGTCACCTCCCGGCTCCCCGGGGCCCCGCCTGCCTTAGCTAGAGGGGCTGACCGGTGACTGTCCCTTCCAGGTGTTGTGGCACCGAGCCCAGTATGAGCCGCTCTTCCACATGCTCAGTGACCCCGAGGCCTATGTGTTCACCTGCGTCAACCAGACTGCGGAGCAGCAGGAGCTGGAGGACGAGCAGCGGCGGCTGTGCGACATCCAGCCCTTTCTGCCCGTTCTGCGCCTGGTGGCCCGCGAGGGGGACAGAGTGAAGAAGCTCATCAACTCCCAGATCAGCCTGCTCATTGGCAAAGGTACCTCCACTGGGCCTGCCCCCCGACCCCTGACCCATGACCCCCACGCTGACCCAGCTCCCCCTTCCCCCCCAGGCCTCCACGAATTTGACTCCTTGCAAGACCCGGAGGTGAATGACTTTCGAGCCAAGATGCGCCAGTTCTGCGAGGAGGCGGCTGCGCGGAGACAGCAGCTGAGCTGGGAGGCCTGGCTGCAGTACAGCTTCCCGCTGCAGCTGGAGCCTTCAGCACGGAGCTGGGGACCAGGCACCCTGCGCGTCCCCAACCGGGCCCTCCTGGTCAATGTCAAGTTCGAGGGTAGTGAGGTGAGCGGTGGCTCCTGCCAGCCTGTGTGCTGCTGTGTCCATGGGGGACGGTTCCCCTGCCAGACTCCCGGTCACCCACCAGCCTTCCAGGTCCACCCTCCTCCCAACTACATCAGGTATTTGTGGTATATCTGTGCACATGAGGGGCTCGGCTGAATGTCCCACCAGGCAAGATCTGAGAGGCAGAGTGACCGTTGGCTTTGGTCATTTGTCCACTCATTTGTTCAACAGATATTTCCTGGTGTCGGCCACGTACCCTCACGGAGCTCACATCCGGAGGCCAGGGGGTACCTACTACGTGCAGCTAGGCAACCGCACCCCCATGCCCCAGAACCCCATGGGCTCTCCACGAGTGAGGAGGCCTGACCCTCCCTCCTCCCCCTAGGAGAGCTTCACCTTCCAGGTGTCCACCAAGGATGTGCCCCTGGCACTGATGGCCTGCGCCCTCCGGAAGAAGGCCACAGTGTTCCGGCAGCCACTGGTGGAGCAGCCCGAGGACTACACACTGCGAGTGAACGGGAGGCATGAGTACCTGTACGGCAGCTACCCCCTCTGCCAGTTCCAGGTGAGGGCTGAGGTCTGGGAGGGGCCTTGGGCTCATGGGTTCCCCACAGCCCTGGCCCGGGGCCTGGGTGGTGGGGGTAGGGGTGGGGAGGCAGTCCTTGGCCCCTCTTGAGCCCAACAAGCCAGATCTCAGGGGATCACAGTGAGAGTGTCCTCTTGCTGGGCCGGCATCTCCCCGAGAGCACAGGGAGGTATGTGGGGACAGGAAGAGCCAGCAAGAGAGCCCCCAAAAGGCCTGGCACAGGCAGTGGTCAGATGGGTAGCCAATCATGCAGGGAACAGCTGGGGCCGCCCCATCGGCTGCTCACTCTGCCCCCCATCTCAGTACATCTGCAGCTGCCTGCACAGCGGGCTGACCCCGCACCTGACCATGGTGCACTCCTCCTCCATCCTCGCTATGCGGGACGAACAGAGCAACCCCGCCTCCCAAGTCCAAAAACCACGCACCAAGCCGCCCCCCATTCCCATGAAGAAGGTGAGCGGCACCGTGCACTTACCCTCCCCCCACCTCTCCCTCCCACCTGTTGCCCAAGCCTGGAGCCCACTGGGCAACACTGTGTTAAGACTTGGGCCTTGGAGCTTGGGCAGCCAGCGCGACTGGACTGCTGGGGTGGGGGCCTGTCTGAACTCCCCAGGGCAGCTTCTAGGCCTGGCTCTCAGGCCTCCTCTCCTCACTAGGACCTGCCTGCTGCACTGCGGGCAGGACTCCATGGGTCCTGGGGCCCCTGGGGGGCCTGCATGGCAGGTTTTCTGGTAACGGATGGTGTTGCACGCAGGTACCTGAGCCCTGTCGTGAGCCTGAAACACTCCCACCCCACCCCCACCCAAGTGGCCACCAGCCTTGTCAGTGGCCGAGGCGTGCCCTCCTCTGAATTCCTCTGCTCTAACAGCTGGCTTCTTGCCTCCACCCCGCCCAGCCTTCCTCAGTGTCTCTGTGGTCCCTGGAGCAGCCTTTCTGCATCGAGCTGATCCAGGGCAGCAAAGTGAATGCAGATGAGCGGATGAAGGTAGGGGCTCCTGGGCCAGGAAGGGCATAGGGATTATGTGTTTTCTGCACAAACACGGTGGCTGTGACCTGGAGGGGTGGTGGAGGAAGAAGGGGGGTTTACACGAAAGCCACCTGACCACATTACCCGGCATCCCTGCCTGGGGTGATTGTGAGCTGCTTCAAAACAGGAAGGGGGGAGGGGAGCAGGCTGGCCAGCCAGAGGTGCCGATTCGGAGAAACCGGGCCCAGCGAATTCTGGGTATTGACTTTGGTGTTGTTTGTGGGGCCAGGCCCAGCCCAGGGACGTGGGAACCACAGAGTCTAGGAGGTGACAGGCACAGAAGAGGAGCCGCTCCCACTGGCCAGGGGCCTTGGGGCTCCAAGGGGGCACTGGGGTACGGCGGGGTGCATGCAGCCCAGACCTCAATCCTGGGGCCAAGCCCACTTCTGGGTCGTTCACAAGCCCACCTCCTTAGTCCTTAGGATGGCCTGCGAGATGCAGGTTTTCTCGTCCCATTTGTAGGACAGAAAACCAGGGTCCATATAGATCAAAGCTCTTTCTGGAGCACTTTTTCACTGGGGTAACTTCCCAAGCAGGGCAGGTCTGGGTTTCCGTGAACGAATCATGGAGGGTTGGATGGAGGCAGCTTTCTGACTGGGCGATGAGGGTAGATTTGGAGGAGGCAGGGCAGCATGTGCGGGCGGCATTAAACCCCTTCCACAGAATCCTTTGTATGATTCTGAGCAGTGCGGGAACCCCTGAGTGCTTGAGCTAGAAGGGCCCCAGGAGTTTCCAAACCCTGATGGGGAAACCAACACCCAGAGCAGGGAGGCAACATGCCCCAGAATCCTGCCGAGCTGATGGGGAGCATAGCCCAGGGCGCCTTCCCTGTCACCCAGAGCCACTCATCCTGCTCAGGCAGCCAGCCATCCCTCTTCCAGACCCCTTTCTTCCATGTGGGGAGTGGGGTTCGGACCCACATTTCAGGAGGAGACTCGAGCCTTAGGTGGGAGGGAGAGGGAGGCTGGGCCTCGGCCACCTGTCACCCGTGCCCGTGCCTTCCCCAGCTGGTGGTGCAGGCCGGGCTCTTCCATGGCAACGAGACACTGTGCAAGACGGTGTCCAGCTCAGAGGTGAGCGTGTGCTCAGAGCCCGTGTGGAAGCAACGGCTGGAGTTTGACATCAATGTGTGCGACCTGCCGCGCATGGCCCGCCTCTGCTTTGCACTTTACGCCGTGATTGAGAAGGCCAAGAAGGCGCGCTCTACCAAGAAGAAGTCCAAGAAGGCGGTAGGTGGGGCTGGTCGGGAGGCTGGGCCAGGCCTCAGAGAGCCAGTGGACTCCCTGCTGGGTCCAGTCCAGTCCTGCAGCTCCGGGGCCGCTGCTCGCCCTGCTCCCAGCATCCCGGCAGCCTGGGGATGGGGTCTAGAGGGCCTCTGGACCCAGACTCCCCACCCCTCCCACCCTGACCACCACCCCTGCTGTGTGATGGTGCTGGGTCTCTGGGCTCATGAGCAGGGGTCTCAGAATATCTGGGCCTGGGACTTTGGTCCTCGCGGGAACCTGGAGGCAGCCCCCTGGGGTGAAAGGACAAATGCAGTGTACTCCCAGGGAGCAAGGGGGCCTGAGACAGCAGCCGGCCAGGCATGGAGTGGTGGTCGAGCACTGAGTCACTGGGCCCAGGATGTGACTGGCCACCAAGCCATGCTGACTCACTGGTAGCTGGGCCAGGCCAGATCTCTGGGGCTGATGTGGTTTGTTTGGGGCTTTCTCAAGAAGCCAAGAGTGAGATGCATCCCGGAGCAGAAGGGAGCCAAGGGGTAGCTGACCCTGCTGGCTGCCTCGCAGGGAGTCTGGGCCTGGCTGGGCCCATCCTGCAGGTGAGCAAATAGAGGCTTTTCAGCAGCTGGACTCCTTTCCCAGGACTGCCCTATCGCGTGGGCCAACCTCATGTTGTTTGACTACAAGGACCAGCTCAAGACCGGCGAGCGCCGCCTCTACATGTGGCCCTCCGTCCCAGGTGGGCCCAGGCCAGAAGGGCAGGTGTGGGTGGGGGGCAGCTCCCAGACCTGGTGGCATTCCCCTTGTAACTCCATCTGGCCCTGTATCCAGATGAGAAAGGGGAGCTGCTGAACCCCTCGGGAACTGTGCGGAGTAATCCCAACACTGAGAGTGCAGCCGCTCTGGTCATCTTTCTCCCTGAGGTGGCCCCCCACCCTGTGTACTACCCTGCCCTGGACAAGGTCAGTGAGGGGTCCAGGACCTACCCTGCCTAGAAACCTCAGGGCTAAAGATTAACTTTCCTGACCCTGCCTCTGAGGCTCCCCAGGACTTGGTCCCCGCACCCCGTGAGTTGCCTGGGGCTGGAGGCTGGGTCCCCCACACACCTTGACTCTCTGTAGTTCTCATATGTCCTAGAGCAGTGGTTCTCAACCAGGGGCCTCTTTGCCCCCCCCCAGGGGACTTGACAATGCCAAGGACAATTTTGGGGGTCACAACTAGTGGGAGAGATGCTCCTGGCGTCTTGTGGGTGGAGGCCAGGGATGCTGCTAAAGACCCTGCACGGGAGGGACGATCTCCACCACTGAGAGTCATTGGCCCACAAAGGCAGCGCTGAGGCATTGACATCGCCCTGGGGGCCCTGCCAGGCTGGCCCAGGGCCCCAGGGGCGCCACTGAGAGCAGGGCCGCTGTTGCAGATCCTGGAGCTGGGGCGGCACGGGGAGCATGGGCGCTTCACGGAGGAGGAGGTGAGCTGGGGGCCGTGGGCGGTGGGGTGTGGGCCCGGCTGCAGCGCTCACGCCTCCCCGCCTGCGTCCTCCAGCAGCTGCAGCTGCGGGAAATCCTGGAGCGGCGGGGATCCGGGGAGCTGTATGAGCACGAAAAGGACCTGGTGTGGAAGATGCGGCATGAGATCCAGGAGCACTTCCCCGAGGCGCTGGCCCGGCTGCTGCTGGTCACCAAGTGGAACAAACATGAGGACGTGGCCCAGGTGGGCGGTGGGGGCAGGGCCGGGGAGGGGGCCGGGCCTGGAGCCAGACCACCGCCTGCGGCCCCCGCCCTGACCACCGGCTCCCCCCAGATGCTCTACCTGCTGTGCTCCTGGCCTGAGCTGCCTGTCCTGAGTGCCCTGGAGCTGCTGGACTTCAGCTTCCCCGACCGCCACGTGGGCTCCTTCGCCATCAAGTCCCTGCGGAAACTGACGTGAGTCCTGCGGGCTCCCTGCTCCTCAGAGGGCCGCTTTGCCCCAACGTCTAGGACTGGGTGCTGGATGGGGCCTCCTGCGCCTGCCCTGACCCCTCCCCAGCTGCAGACCCTTCCCCAAGCCGTTAAGCTCCGGGCCCCAGCCGGCCTCCCTTGTCTGCAGGGACGACGAGCTTTTCCAGTACCTACTGCAGCTGGTGCAGGTGCTCAAGTACGAGTCCTACCTCGACTGCGAACTGACCAAATTCCTGCTGGACCGGGCCCTGGCCAACCGCAAGATCGGCCACTTCCTCTTCTGGCACCTCCGGTAGCTGGACTCACCTGGAAGGCCGTGGGGAGGAGGGGCCTCTTGCCTGCTGGCCTGGCGGGCCAGGCTGGGAGGGGCTGTGTGGCCCTGCCAGGTGAGGCTCAGCCCCTCCTCTTCCTCCAGCTCCGAGATGCACGTGCCGTCTGTGGCCCTGCGCTTCGGCCTCATCATGGAGGCCTACTGCCGGGGCAGCACCCACCACATGAAGGTGCTGATGAAGCAGGTGAGGCTCGGGGCCCTGCACTCTCACCCCACGCTGGGCTCTACTTTCTGGTCAAGTCGCCTCGACCTCGGTAGAACCGAGGTTCGGAGCCTGCCCACACTGCCTTCCCATCCTCCGGGCCAGGGGGAAGCTCTGAGCAAACTGAAGGCCCTGAACGACTTTGTCAAAGTGAGCTCCCAGAAGACCCCCAAGCCGCAGACCAAGGAGCTGATGCACGTGTGCATGCGCCAGGAGACCTACCTGGAGGCCCTCTCCCACCTGCAGTCCCCGCTTGACCCCAGCACCCTGCTGGCTGAAGTCTGGTGAGCCCCGGGCCCCAGCCAGGGCCCCTCCCCCCACCCCCCAGAGGCCCTGCGGAGGGCCCGCCGCTGACTGCGCCCTGCCCCAGCAGCGTGGAGCAGTGCACCTTCATGGACTCCAAGATGAAGCCCCTGTGGGTCATGTACAGCAACGAGGAGGCCGGCAGTGACGGCAGCGTGGGCATCATTTTCAAGAATGGGGATGGTGAGCAGGCCAGGCCCTGGCCTCCCCATACTGCCCTCGGGGGGCCCTGGGAGGGGGCACTCCTGGAGGGCCAGCTGAGGAAAAGACAGAGTCCCGGGACTTTGGAGCCTGGGCATGGCTGCGATTGGAGAATCTGTCAGAAACTCGTGTTTCTCCTCCCGGGGGCCGGCTGCACAGACCTCCGCCAGGACATGCTGACCCTGCAGATGATCCAGCTCATGGACATTCTGTGGAAGCAGGAGGGGTTGGACCTGAGGTGAGAGGCCCTCCTGTCATCCACTCGTGCCTGCACCAGGCCTAGGATCCTGTCCCTTGGGAGGGGACCCCAGTCAAAGCTGACATTCCCACCTCAGCTGGAGAAGACTGGCTGCTCTAAGAAGAGCAGGGACCAGTTTAAACCCGGGGCCAGGGAGGTGATAGGGCCCCAGAATGAGGGTGGAGGAGGCCAGCCCTGGCCCTTAGTACCCATCTTGCTCCATTGTTTCCTTTGCCCTAAGCATCCCTGGCTTCCAACCCCATCTTCATCCAGGCCACTTGGATTTTTATCTCTCAGCAAATAGTGAGCTCAGCCAAGGTGCTGACTTTTCTTCTCTGCATCTTGGGTGCTGGTGCAACCTCTCCAAGGAAACTTCCCTGAAGCCCCGGAGGGTCAAGGGCTCCTCCCCAGGCCTGTCTCCTCTTTTTCAGCAACTTGAGTAGCATCTCCTGTGGCTTTTTTGAGTTATGCTTCTCAGGGCCAAGCAGCCAAAGGGACAGCCCTTGACCACTGTGTCTGCCTGCCTTTCCTCCCACCTGCTAGGATGACCCCCTATGGCTGCCTCTCCACCGGGGACCGCACAGGCCTCATCGAGGTCGTTCTTCACTCGGACACCATCGCCAACATCCAGCTGAACAAGAGCAACATGGCGGCCACAGCTGCCTTCAACAAAGATGCTCTACTCAACTGGCTCAAGTCCAAGAACCCTGGGTAGGTTTGGGGCTCTAGGGACACACACCCTTCCTTCCAGGAGATACAGTTTGGGAGTCAAAGGCAAGGAGGAAGGCCTGTGACAGTTTCTGTGGCTTCTTCTGAGGACCAGCCCATAGATAGTGTGAGGTCAGGTCTCTGTTCCCCCATGTATCAGTTAGTTATTTCCATGTAACAACCACCCTGAATTTAGGGGCCTAAACCACCAATCTGCAACTTGAGCTGGCTCAGCTGGGTGGCTCTTCCACTGGAATCACTCGTGAGGCTGCTGTCATTTGGTAGTGTGCCTGGGCCTGGAAGGTTGTGTGACCGGGGCCTCTCTCCATGTGGTCGCTCATTCTAGCCTGAGCATCCCTCCACGGCCATAGGGAAGTTCAGGAGCTGCAAGGTGTCTTAAGGCCCAGGCTCTGGAATGAGCCCAGCATGACTTCTTCCACGTTCCATTGGTCCAAGCAAGTTATAAAATAAGATTCGGGGGGGGACATAGACCCCATCCCTTGATAGGAGTTGCATGAACGATGTGGCCATGGTTTCCAACCCCTCCCACCAGGGAGGCCCTGGATCGAGCCATTGAGGAGTTCACCCTCTCCTGTGCTGGCTACTGCGTGGCCACATATGTGCTGGGCATCGGTGATCGGCACAGCGACAACATCATGGTCCGGGAGAACGGGCAGGTAGGGGCAGGTTGGGGGCGGCCATGAGGGGGGTGCCTGTCACCCTGCGCCAGCCTGCTGGCCTCTCTGCTCTGCACACGACTGCTGGGCGGAGCCCGCTCCAAGCCCTTCCGGCTTCCTCTGCTTTCCCAGGCTGCTCTGGGCCGGGGTGCCCTCCTTTCTGACTCCATTTCAGTCTTTGCCCTTCCCTCCCCTTAGCTTTTCCACATTGATTTCGGCCACTTTCTGGGGAATTTCAAGACCAAGTTTGGAATCAACCGTGAGCGAGTCCCATTCATCCTCACCTATGACTTTGTCCACGTGATCCAGCAGGGGAAGACGAATAATAGTGAGAAATTTGAAAGGTGAGGGTGCCCCAGGCCCCCTAAATCCCCCCTGCTGCGGGGGGCCCCAGTCTAGGTGCAGGGACGGGCAGTGTGGGCAGGTCTAGGGGTCCTCTCAGGGCGTCGGGGGTCAGTTAGAGGGAGCGAGGGCTTTGTGTCCACAGCTGTTTCCGGGGCGAGGATGGGCTGGCTTGGGGTAGGGGTGGCTGGGAGGGCCCTGAGCCCTGCCCCCGGCCTCCGCTGCAGGTTCCGGGGCTACTGTGAGAGGGCCTACTCCATCCTGCGGCGGCACGGGCTGCTCTTCCTCCACCTCTTCGCCCTCATGCGGGCGGCAGGCCTGCCTGAGCTCAGCTGCTCCAAAGACATCCAGTATCTCAAGGTAAGCGCCAGGACAGGGCCCCGCCAGGCAGAAGCCCAGGCAGGCCGGCCTCCGAGCAATATGGCCGAGCCTCTCCTCCCCTCTAGAGTGTGGTGGGCCCTCCAGACTCACAGGCCCTGGGCCCCGGGTCTGGTGGGAAGCAGCTGGCCGGAGCCCCAGTTCTGCTGAGGATGTGCGAGCACCTCCCTTGATCCACCCCGCTGTCCTCCACGGACTGTGGTGTTTCCACTTGTACGGGAGGGCCGGATTAGATAGGGTTCACCTACAGTCAAGAAGTATTTTTCCTTCCTATGTCTTCTCAGTCTGAGGCTGGCAGGGAGTAAGGGCGGCAGGGTTACCAGCACCTGCCAGGTGTTCTTTGGTGCCCAGTTCATGAGATGAAGCTGCTCCCTCCCTTCCTCCTCCTGCCAGCTTCCGATGGAGAAGGCGAGGCCGCCTGTCCACCCGGAGCTTTGGGGCCAAGACCACCTGGCACAAGTTGGCCTCTTGTTTTGAGGATGGGTCGGGGGCCTCCCTGGGAGCAGAATAGCAAGCTCTTCCAGGGGAGCTGTTGGGTGGAGATCTCCTGAATCCCTTCGCACAGCTCCCTAAGGAGGAACTCTTACCTGCTCAGGGTGGGCAGAGGTACAAGGAGGCAGGAGGGGAGCCTGCAGAGCAGGGACCAGGCCCCTCAGTGTGGTCGCCCACTGCTCTGATTTTGCCTCAGGATTCTCTGGCCTTGGGAAAAACAGAGGAGGAGGCTCTGAAGCACTTCCGAGTGAAGTTTAACGAAGCCCTCCGGGAGAGCTGGAAAACCAAAGTGAACTGGCTGGCCCACAACGTGTCCAAAGATAACAGGCAATAGCAGCCCCTCCTGGCCGGACACTGGCCCCTGCAAGCCCTGGGCCTGGACAAACCAACTGTCAGTCCTGGGAACCAGGTGTCCTCAGCCATCCTCCAGGGCCTAAAGCCTGAACTGCACCGTTTGGTAAATAACCTACATGGCTGCCTTTTGTTTACACTGGTTATTTATTTATGACTTGAAACGTTTCAGGAACTGAACAGCCATAAATGGAAATGCATCCTTCATGCAGGGGAGGGGTGCTGTCCTCCGGAGGCCCCTGCCAGAGCCCTGGGCTTTGATGAGAAGACACTGTGAGCTGGGCACCTCGAGGCTGCATCTTGCCGAGGATTTGTAACCTCAAGTCTTCCAGCTGGTGGATCTGGAGCCAGCAAAGACTCTTCTCCCACGGGGAGGCCTTCTCTTTCCAGGCTCCCACTGGACTGCACAGGTCTTGGCACCTAGCAGTTACCTGGTGCCTGCAGTCCAGACAGGGCGCCCAGGCTTGCTCACCCCCTCCGCCTCCGTGCTCTCCGTTGACTGAGTTCTGGGCAGCTCCTGGAGGAAGCCTGGGTCCCCTCCAACTTCAGGGACACTTGCTTTCCACTTTGAAAGTGACTCTCGGGTACGGGAATTCTCTCATCTCTGCTGTAAGGCGATTTTGTTTGCGGGTAAGAAAAATTAGCCAAACTACTGAACCTCTGTGGCTTGGGAGAACGGCCCTAGCCTCCAGGAAGTATAGCCTTCGCTGGTCCTTGAGACACATTAAAAAGACCTGAGCTTGACTGAGCTCTTCCTGGTCGTGGATCAAGGTGCAAACAGGTGCGAATACTTTGTGCAATGACGTGTAACCTCCTCTTAAAGCAGGTTTTAGGTAGCGAAGGACCTGCTCTCCTCTCCCTGGATGCTCACCTCCGAAAACCTGCTCTCAGTACCCAGGTACCAGCAGCGTGAGAGCTAGGGGTGTGGCGGCATCTTTTCCTCTGACGGTACTTAGCTTGAATGATTTAGACTCAGCCTTAGGTGCATCTGAGGAACTCAAGAAATGCAGGTTCTCGGGCCTCTCTCAGCCTTTTGAAGTGAACTCCAGAGATGAGGCTTAGAATCTGGGCTTTTAGAAGCCCACGGGCGAGCTTCATGTATTAGCAGCTGACTTGGGGCCTGCAGGGCTGCACTGCTTCTGTCTCAAAAGGCCTTGCGAGGTTCAGGAGAGTCCGAGGCAGCCGCCCTCCCAGCAGCCCAGGTGCCAATGCTCTCTCTCAATTAGTTACAGGTGGCTGACAGGCGTAGCAACCGTGCCCCACGCACAGCCCCACAGACCACACTCTGGTTCCCCACCAAGTGCTGAATTCATCAAACCCACCTCACCTGTCTGGAAATAGGAAAAGCCGAGTGTATGTTTATCTGTTATTTATTTAAACTTGTCTGTGCTTTCTGGCGTGGGCAGCACACTGCATATTCACAGCAATTTCTTGTTTGAGTGAATATTTTCTACTTTTTTTTTAACTCATTTGCTGTTTCTGTATGGATGGGGAAGGCAAGTTCAATGTAATTGCTGCAGGTTGAGACCAGCACTCTGAAACCTTGAAATGAGAGGTAAAAACAGTGAAAGAAATAAAAGCCTTTGCGTGTCAGGCTTTTGGCTCAGAAAGAAACAAGGGAATGCGGGATTAAATTGAAAACCAGACAAAAAACAACCCACTCTCCCACTGGAGTTGGTTAGAACCCGAACTTTATTGTGGTGTATACACTTTCTGACCTAATCATCAATGTACACATCAGGAAAGTGACACGGCGGCGGCTACAGACAGCGCGAGAACGTCCCACCTCCGCGTCGGCGTCTAGCCGTTGTCTAAACAGAGCAGCTACAGCGACAGTACATGGAGGGGTGGCCACACACGACACAGGACAGCTGGCGGTGTCCTCAAAACTAGCAGTTAGGAGCACGGAACAGTGTTCAAAATTATCGTCCCCCAGTTTTAGAAATCTGAAATTTCACATGTAAATTAAAAACCAAGTGCTGAGGGGTCTGAGCTCCTGACCGCTGCCCGACCTCTCCCCTTCACCACCGGCTGGGCGCGGGCTTTGCCCCGGGGCTCTGGGGAGGGGGCCTAGCACTGCCTTCAGGCCACTGGGCATCGTTTCAGCAAACCTGCTCCTCAGCCGTTCTGAGTATGGACCCCTCAGGCCTGCTGATCCAAACCAAGAGGTCAGACGGTCTGCCCTAGCCGTATAACCGACATGCGCTCTCACCAGCAAGGAAATGTTCAGTACAAACCCCAAGGCCGCGTGTGAGTCCAGGTTCCCGCACAGGGAGCTGCTGGTCCTCGGAGAAGCCTACACAAATGGCCAGGGACCTCAGCTCCCCCGCGGACCTCTGCCAAGTCAGAAACGGGTAGAATCCCCAAGAAAAGACCTGGCCATATCCAGCCTCCGAAGAGCGGTCCCTGACCTGGTCCCTTCCTGCCAGGCAGCACACTGACGTCTGTGCCCCTGGCTGCCCCGTCCACGCGCCAAGGCCTGAGACCCAAGGCCGTCAGTGCCCAGGGCTGCCCGAGTCGGGCAGGCACCCAGGGACGGGGGCCTCGGTCCCTCCCACGCTCAGCGTCTCCTACTTCACTTTGCACCCGGCCCTGGTTTACACTAGCACAAAGGACACAAGGAATCCCAATTTATTTACAAAATATTAAAAAGTCAGTTCATCATCTACATATTAATCCCCATTCTGCCATTTTATACATGCACTAGTTTGGAAAAAATAAAAATTAAAAAAAAAAGAAAAAGAAAAAGGATTACCAGGTGGGAGTGAGCAATTTTAACCCTTTGTCAACGAGTCCAGTCACAGCAACTTTTCTGGAGAGTGTCAGCTCCTCACATAACTTACGAGCGATCAGGCGGAGGCGGGGAGAGAGCAAAGGGGCCTACGGTCCTACACACCAAGCACGGGCAGAGATGAGCGGTGGGGAGGGTCTGCAGACCTACTGGCCAGAATGACTTTGTACATCGTGGACCCTTAGGGCGGGGACGGAGATGACAGCAGAGTCTCCTGAAGCAGGAAGGGAGGTGACGGAGGGAGCGGCTGGCTCAGTAGCTGAGGGTGGAGTCGTCCCACTCCAGCTGCTGCTGCCTGTTTGCCGTCTGCTGGTCTCCGTGCTCCCCTTCCTCCTCCTCGCTGCTCTCCGACTCAGCACTGGTGATGTCGTCTTCCTCGTCTCCGTCCTCACTCTCCTCTTCCTCTTCCTCCTCCTCCTCCTCCTCGCTGCTGTGCTGGTCCTCATACGTCTGACCAAGAGGTGACTGGGCATGAACCTGGCCCCACCCCGCGGCCCCGCTAACTGCCCAGCGTGCATTCACCTGCCAGGAGCCCCAGCCGCTGCCCAGTAGAAGGGCTGGGCTGCGCTGGGAGGAGCCTCACCAAGGACAGGGGACAACAAAGCTCTGGTCACCCCCACAGGGTGACCGTGAGCCTGAAGAAGGCCTCTCTAGGCCTCTGTTTACCCAGTTGTGCAGATCACGTAAAGCACACGACTGAGGGTGAGGTGAGCCCAGCTCTGTCCGGCCCCGGCCTGGTTGGCTGTGTGTCGGCCGTCATCCGGCCGCACCTACCTCCATGGGGTTTACGGTGATGGTCAAGGCGGAGTCGTCCCAGTCCATCTCGTTCTCCTTCCCGGTGTCCTGGTCCCGCATGGTCCTCTGATGGGCGGCCCGGATCCGGAACACTCCCAGGATGATCATGAACACCAGGAAGCTGACACACACCACAATCACGACGGTGGCGGTGCTGGGGACAACTGTGGGGACGGGAGACGGGGCGGCTGCGGCAACCAGACCCAACTCAGAGCCCACATGCGCCCGACCTCCTCCCCGACACGCCTCACGCCCCGCCAGCCCCCAGAGAACAGGCAGACAGATGGGAGGAGGCACAGCACAGCTTCAAATCCAGGTTTGGCCCCGCTGTCCGGTGGTCGGGGATCAGTGAGTCTGCCCTCTGTCAGCGCTTTAGCTTCCTCACGTGTGACACAGAACAATGACCGGGCTGGCTGGTGGCTGTTCTGAGTGGGAGCTGGGCTCCCACAGGAAGGGGTGTGGGGTTGGGGCTGCCCGACTCTGCCTGGAGGTCAGAAGTTGCGGGGCTGCTCCCCATGGTCCTACCTGCGAACGGGTGAGGGTTGGCCAGGTTGTGACCCGAGAGATCAATGAAGGAGCGGTGCTCGGGGTGGACGAACTGTGGCTGGGCGGCCATGTGGCTGGCGTGCTCCATGGGGTTGGCCGTGTGGATGACGTTCACCTGCAGTGGGGACAGAAAGGCAGCCTTAATGTGTCTGAATGGTGGAGACGCACTTGAGATGCCGATGGGACCAGCACCACCAAAGTGGGTCCTGGACCGATACTGGTGGGTGGAGAAAAGGACAGGGGGAAACCGAGGAGGCTGCTGTAACCATCTGACATCCCGCTGCCCTAATAGCTAATTTCTATTACATCTGATAAAACAATTTGTCCACAACAGCCCGGAGGCGAGACCCCGCCACCACCACTGGCCCCTCCCCACAAGTCGTTTGAGAATCCCTGGCACAGACCACGGCTCCTCTTTCCCCCAAGCCACAGCCACGTGAACGACAGCACAAGTCACAGCCATTCATTTCCTTTCAAACCCGCTACCCTCTGGCTCCAGCCCTGTGAGTTTAATTCTGCTGCCACGGGGTCATGGTGGAAGCGTTCGACTGCTTAGAACTTTGGGCCCATTTCTCTGGACCACAGAAGCTCGGACTGAGATGACAGGTTTCAGGGCAGGACAGCAGCCCTCACCCTGGGCCAAGGATTTGTTCTCAGAGGGACCGGCCACCTACAAAGAACCCTCGGTTCTCTAGGCGCTGCTCTCTCAAAAGCAGTGTCCAGTCTCAAGAAACCATCTCGTCCCTCAACCAGGGCACTGACTGACACTTGTTCTTGACCTCCTTTCTCCAAAGGCCCCTCTGGCCCCTGGGCTGAGGCATCTGGTGAAAGGCAGGCACTGTGCAGTACCCAGGCCCACTTTAGGCACGACCTGTCACCCCAAACCTGTGCAGGTCTAACCGGCAACAGACCCTAGGCTGCAAAAGCCTACCCTCCCCAGGTAGCTCGTGTGCAAACAAGGGGACCACGAGTGAGGGTCAGTCACCATGCTGCTGGCCCTTCTCCACAGACCCGGCACTCACCTCCACCTGGAACTCGTTGCTGACGTAGCGGCCATTCAGCTCGGAGCAGATGAGCTTGAACTTCCGGTCCAGCAAAGACCTGGTGTGCCAGTTCCGATACCGCAGAAGGCGTAAGACCTCCTCGTAGCTGGCCATGGTGCCGACACCTGCAGGCAGGGAGAAGACGCCCGGCGGCTGAGGTTAGGAGCGCGGGCCGTGGAGGGACGTGCCACCACGCGCCCAAACTTCCGCCCTTTGTGAGGACAGGACCCAAGGCAGAGCCCCTCCCGTCTGGAGAAGGTGGGTAGCCGCCACTCTCCCCAGTCGACACTTCCCCGCGGACTCCCTCCGGGTTCTGTGATGCGGGGAAGCGGGGCTGAGGGTTTGGAGCGCCCGCTCTCCGCTCCACCTCTCACCTGTGAAGACCACACCCAGCTCAGAGCTGCTGACTTCGATGCCCTTCTGCTGCAGGCGGACCGCGTCCACCTCCAGGCTCTCCTGCTCTCGGTTCAGTTCCTCTCCCTCCACCGTGACCTCACAGGTGTCCAGGTCGTGCACGATCTCCTCAGACACCAGTGACTCTTGAACTGCAAAAACAGCCCACAGGGAAATAGAGGCCGCAGAGCCCAGGTCGCACCTGACGGCCGGCCCACCCATCCTGTAACTCGCAGAGCCCTTTTAGGGACCACAGACAGAGGTACGGGACAGTCACCTTCAAGAACTGGGGGCGCTTTATGTGTCTAGGATGACTGGCCACTGGGAAGGCCCAAGAAGAGGGAACCCTGTCCCATCTGGCTGACCAGCCAGTAGGAGCACCCCAACAGCGTCTCCTGCCCTGGTCTCCATCCTCTCAACCCACAAGATCCATCCCAGATCCTGGCATCAAGCCGGACAAAGATGAAAGGACCCTCCGGGTGGGTTTCCAAAGGTCACAGTAAGCTCCAGCCCATGGGTCAGATTCCAAGTCCCTAAAACCCCAGGGAAAAAGGGCCAGGCGGGCGGGTACAGCTCAGTGGTAGGGCACATGCTCAACACGCACGAGGTCTGGTTTTATTCACAGAATCTCTGTTTAAATAAACGAACAAACCAACCAGCCTACCTAATTACCTCCTGCCCCCTAAAAAACACAAAAATCAAAACAAAACAGAAAGCACCAACAGAAAGGAAGGGAGAAAAAAAAAGAAAAGGGGCCAGGAGGAGTGCAGCAGTGGTGGGGTTTCAGCGCCCAGCTTCGAGCCCAGGCAGAGGCAGACATCTCGGAGGGCAGAGGGGCTGTTACCTGTGGGGTCCTCGTCCCCCTCCCCTTCAGGCTCCACTTCTCGTGTGATGGTGCTGATGATCCGAAGCTCAGGGAAAAGGAACACACCCTCTGAGCTTTCAAATTCAGAAGCCGCTCGAGCAAAATGGCGGACGCCACTCAGGCTGATCTTGGGCTCTTCCGGCTGTAGGACCATCACGTAGCCATCCACC